ATTAGCATATAAGTGACATCACTTCCGGTTTTAAATGTCTTCTAAACAGGGCACCCTCAGAAAAGTCGTCGGGTTGTGTCAACCCGATCAAGTTGACTAGCCCGTCACTACCCCCCTTCTAATTTTTTTTTTTTTTGAATTATTTCAAATGACGTCGCTTCCGGTTTTGTCGGGTTGACACAACCCGACGACTTGTTTGAAGGTGCCCTTTAAAAAAAACGTCGAAAATATTCTAAGTGGCATGAAATACATTAGCATTATCTATAACCACCGATAGAGATGAGTAATAAATGTTACCTGGGGTGGGGAGGTTTCAAACAAAATTGCTAAAATAGCGACATGGTCAACCCGTCAAATGCATTTGTCAACCCGTGTCATGTCGGAGTATTGGACAACCCTCAGCTGATTGCACTGCATGAAGCTCCTGTATCCAGCTGAAATAMGATTTGTTGTGACTTATTCTTGCTGATGTCAGCTTTCACAATGACTTTGGCACAGAATTCCTTTTTTCCATTCTTGTTTTGTATACTGTATATGCTTTCATCACTGTCTAACTCTTCACTATCTTCAGTGGTAGTGGTATCACTGTCTTCCAGATGATGTATCTTCTTTGTATTTTTCCTCTTTGATTTATCCTTTGTTTCACCTTTTTCCTTTTTGTTGTCGTGGTGATGAATCATTTGAATTTGCTGATGATAAGCACACTTTGGCAAGATGGTTTTTCTTTTTACATTTACTACAGGTTTCTCCATATGCACTGCATTTGCCTTTCTTGTGGTCACTTCCACAGTACTTGCAATTCTTGATATACTTTGTGTCGCTCTTCTTCTTTTGTACAAAGTTGACAGGTTGTGTCGGCTCCATTCTCTCATGAATGTTGTGTTGCTGTTTCGCTGCTTCGACAAATGTCGATTGCTCTATCCAAGGTGAGATCCTTTTCTCTTAGCAGTCTCTGTTGTGTTTCGCTGTTGTGAATTCCAATCACTATTCTATCTCTCAACATCTCGTTTTCTAGAGTGGCATATTTGCAGGTCGATATGTTTTCTCTCAGTCGACTCAGGTAGCGATCRAATCTCTCGTCAGGTTTTTGTGTACATGTATTGAASACATACCGTTCGTAAATTATGTTTCTTTTACCTTCAAACTCCTCAGTTAGCTTCTCTAGTATTGTATCCGGCTTTTGTCTTTCATCATCTGACATTGGCAGGTTTTTGAAGACTTTAAAACAATCTTTTCCGATTATCGAGAGTAGAGTAGCGGCGACAACTTCGTCGGGTTTTTTCTTTAGCTCGTTTGCCGTTGCGTAGTTTTTCCAACTTTCCTTGAAAAAATCCCAATTCGAAGCGAGATCTCCTTCCATATCCATCTTAGCAGGTACTGGAATCGATGATTTTGCCATTTTGGTGCTTTTTTTCCCGAGGTTTCGTCTTTAACGCGTGAGTTTAAGTCGAAGTTCTGACACCATGTTATGTGGGTTGCAAGCAGTCAGACGCCATATTCCAGCACATGGATTTATTAATGAGGGCACAGGAAACCCATAATTAAGTACATATAATATAACANGCTATAGCCCATGCTTTTTGATCTAAAATCGGTCATTTTTGGACATTTTGGTGGGCTATAGCCCATGGTTTTTCATCTAAAATCGGTCATTTTTGGCCATTTTGGTGGTCTATAGCCCATGCTTTTTGATCAAAAATCGGTCATTTTTGGCCATTTTGGTGGGCTATAGTCCATGCTTTCTGATCTTAAATCGACTTTTTTTGGCTATCGGTGTTTGTTTTTTAAATAAAAAAGCGGACATGAAAAAGGCTCAATAACACCCTAAAACCGTGATGTCTGATGGACCATGTGGAGTATATGCCAATGAAAAGTGTCTAAACACACCCAAAAATCATGTGATGTTTGATGGTTTATAACCCACGAAAAATGCTAAAAATACCCTCAAATCACCTCGAAATCCCATGAAAAGTCAACATCAGTAAACATACAATCGAGGTAAAACATGTCCACACCCCTCCCTCACCAAAAAAGCGAAATGATAAAAAAGACACTGATAAGTTACTTGTTGTTTTTTACCATGTTCTCTATAATTAATATGGCATTTAATCCGTCAATTGAAACGTCTACAATTTATAACTTGTTGTCCATTTGTAATTAAGATTTTTATTAATATTTTTAGCACCCTGATCTTTGTCTTCCCCCCTAAAATGGCCCGCCTCGCACCCCCCCCTCCCCCCGTGGTATACATTATGAACGCAGACTAAATAGATAGCACAAATCTTTGATTTTTCTACAAATTATGCTTTTATTTTTACAGCAAATACGGCGTCCATGAATGTACCAACWTTACGCTTAACTCGCACATTACAAAATCCACAAGATTCTAATAAGTCTCGATACTCCTTCCCAGATCTCTCTCGGGATCCTTTGTTTCCCGCTACAAGCATAGATAACGAGGAGAGATTACCAAGCAATGGACCACTCTTGTCATCGTCCAGAACCTTCTCACAAACCAGAATTCCACCTCCTTGAATAAGAACATRTTAACATATTAAAAAGTAGAATGAAATGATATTTTAGCATGATTGCGGGTTTCCTGTGTATTTTTATCCGGGATTCCTGTGTTCGACAAATTCAAGATGGCGAACGGAACTGACAGCTTTATCAATTTTGGAATAGCTAAATAGTTTAGCTTCCTTTACCAAGGTAATTAAAAAGCGTTCATAACTATTAATAGTTACTATTTCTTTTAAAACAAAAATACCAAGTTCAATGAAATGATCCTTTTGATAAACACTGTTGTGTTCGTTGTGTTAACAATTTAAGGTCATTGGATCATCTCTGTAGATCATTTAAATAGATTTTAGGAACTGCTTATAAGATCAAGGATCAAAATAAATTGATTCAAAGTCACAACACAGCATATCACATCTCAAAATACCCATTGGTTAATTTTAACCTGTATGGTCTGCCATCACCAGGGGAATTAATATCATTGAAATTACAGAAATAAAATTAAAAGCTACAGCATTAGAAAATGTTCTTGATTTTAATTTCCCTGCCTCTCGGTTGATTAAAGAATCATAACCACCCGCCGTACCTTGCGAACTGAAGCGCCATTTTAGGTGGACACGAAAATGGCGGATTTGTAGGATTTCTTAAAGTGAGCGCCAATCGTCTTCCGTCCTTTCAGTTCGGACAGAAATACCTTTAACTAAGTACCTCACAGGTACTATCAATCTATAATTTATTGTATGCTTAACGCATTTAAACGTATGTAAACAATAATACGAGCACGCAAGGTACGACGGGTCGTTATGATTCTTTAATGCTGTTTAAATACAGGGCTGGGGTGGAGACCAGGGTTTCAATTGMCTGATCAGGGATGCTACACACTACTGTCCACCTAGAATATAGTTCATATGCAGATATAATGTGCTGCCATAAAATATCTTGTACAATCAATTGCAAAAGGTTGTGTATTTAGATATTAGACATTTTCCTTTATCTAATTATTATCTTATTTATTCACAAACGTTTTGCAGTTGGCTGTAAGAATTCTGTAGCAGAAATTTATTGGTTTATATCAAGCCCTAATAAAAAGTGTACAGGCATGAAGTTAAATCAAAATTTTCATTAATATTAATATAWACATTATAATATATACAGAACCCACCTGATGGAAGGCTGCTGAAGACTTTTTTCAGTATAAAGAGTATGTTGTCTTCATCAAAACTTTGCAGGATGCGAGTAAGAATATATAGGTCAGCTGATGGTAAGATGTCCTTGAAAAAATCTCCACATTTGAAATGAACTCTATGTTTTGTGGGGCATTCATGTATTGATGGTTCAAATGATGAGGAGCATGCTACTACAGCWGGTAGATCAAGCACTGTGATTGCCATGTTTGGGTAGAGCTTTGAGGCTGCATATGCAATGTCACCTGTTCCACCTAATTAATATTTATATGTAAATGAATGGTTGGGAGAATGGATAAATGGATGGATGGGATGAATACATCAYTTCTAGAATGCTAATTAATACTAAAAGAAACCTATAAGGGACTTGAAACATGTAGCGCCCATACATTTCTTTAGTACCAAGCATCGGAATATTCAAAGCTCATTAAAAATTGAAAATAGAGGTTATGACCATATTTGAAAAATTCCGCCATTGGATAAGAGATATAAGGCCATTCTGGTTGGCTAGGGTGAATTGAATTGTTCCAAATAAGGACTTAATGAGATACAAATTAGAATTGAATGTTCTAACGGATGGCACGGAGTTACACGTCTCAAGTCCCTTATACGTTTCTGATATTAATATATAAATGACTGGTTGGGATAATGAATAAATTGATGGATGGGATGAATAGATCATTTTTAGAATGAATGGACTAATGGATGTTTGGGCAACTGAAAGGATGAAAAGATGAAAATCCAAAGTTAAATGAATGGATGTTGTGATTATGTACATGTCAAATGTAAGGTTAACAAAACAACACAGGTAACCCATACCTCCTAAATCACACATACAGTTAAATCCACTCAGGTCGAAAGCCGACATCAGTTTTTCAGCTTCAGGCTTACATGAGGCTCGTAGACCCTCCAAAAACATCTTAACTCCCTTTTTAGTCAAATAAATAAGAGAAAACATGTCCCAGGATGCATCGAAGAGGTAACGATAAACATCAACTGCAAAGAAAAACAATCTTGAAATAAACCCATTGTACGTTCGTCTCCACTGGTTTTCTCCTTCAAGAACTGCCCATTGAAGATTCCCATAGAGTTTATAGCTTTTCTCAATCATTGGCATAATCCCTTTGATTGAATTAGGACTCTTATGGACAAGAAACTTGTTGGATGTGGCTGTATTGTAATAGAAGTCAGTTTCGTCTCTCGATTCTTTCTTCAGTAGATCTAATGATACCAAAGTGTCTAAGAGTCGAACTGTAGCTTCCTCGTTCGTGTTTAGTTGCTTGGCTATTTCTTTAGCAGAGATTGAGTCAGTAGAATCGTGTATAACATCGAAGATACCGAGGTTGAAGCTTGATATTATGGTCTGAGATGCACAGAAACCAAATAGTTTCTCTGCCAAATCCTTCGGCATCGGCGAGGAATGTAAATAAGATTCGTGGTTTTTGCTGTCTCTTTTTTCCTCTTCTAAAAAACAAGCCATGGCTCTCCTTGAATGGTATGAAACGATTGTATTCTCCGTAGCGTGACTCGATATGTCACGCTCTGTAACGCAATGAAATTTATGCGTCATGGTCGCCATCTTGAAGATTTATATTTTCTGCATTAATTAAAAAGTCCCACTACAATCTCCCACAAAAACAATGAAATCTTTAATTGTYACACAATCTCGTAGTGTAAAAAATGACGCGATTATTATTATTTTTTGTTTATTTACAAGTATTTCTAATTGATCTGAAATTTYACAGGCATCAGGCCTTGCACAAAACACACTAAAAATCTACTCGAYGTTTTTTTCATCGTTTTGGTCTTCTGGAATTATTGGGAAAGTTTTGTCTCTTGATCAGGGATGACTGAATTGAAAGATGCCCTTGATATAAATATGATTTTCTATGTATATCGACACATTTTTGTGACGAAGGCTTTCAGGGAGCGCCTCTCGTCACTATATTATATAGTATATGAGTGTCTGTATCCAAAGTAATGTCGGATTACGAACCTGTACGAAATCGTTTACGAAGTCCCGACGACTGAAATTTACGAGGAAAAATCGGTTTGACCTAACCACGTGCTTTCCCTTTACTCAACTCAGCGATTTGTGCTTTCGATGTGCTACAATGTATTCAAACTATGTTGTGTCTAGAACTAGACACAACTTTCTATTCTATGCATTTGCAGTCAAATTTGTATTTCTAAAGGATATTTCAGATTTTGGGGCGCTTTATGTCCTATTCYAGATCTTTATGTTCCTATCTAATCTCTTTTTTCGTTTGAATTGTTGTGAAAAAACAAACAAACAAACGTACCGGCGTAGTTCTAAACCCAAAACAACACGAAGGGTGTCCATTATATCTACAAAGAATTATCTTCCATTTGCAGTACCACACAGTGATAACAACATGCCAATGGTTGAGCTTTTTTCCGACTCTGTTTATCATTTTCTCCGTGATTTCCTAGTCTATTGTGGTTAGAGCATGGTCCTTGGTCGCCATACTTATTCTTCCGCTATGCATTGCATTTGGTTTAACTTTGCTCTTTACGTTTCGCATTGCTGATATAAAACAGTTATTGCACAGTGCCGTTTTGAAGGCGTTTCTAAAATTTTCATTAAAAATGGCATACAACAAAGCGTTGACTGTACCATTGGAAATCATCAACAACTTTGATCCGAGATAAAACATTGAGTTATCATTGCTGTAGCCTTGGTACAGGAGAGGAAAGACGCATCCTAGGAATACTGGTGACCACGAGATGTCAAAAGCTAGAAGAATACAAACAGTCAAGCGTGTAACCTTTCTTGCAACATGGTTGACAGAGGTCTGMGCATTCGATTCCCGAGTATTTTCACCAGGAAGTCGTCTTGTCCAGAGCTTGTAGGCAATTACCATATATAGAATTGCTATGACAACATGGGGAAGGGCGAACCCAAGGGTTACGATCAAAATGGCGTCAAATGGTGATTGCTTTGGAAAGCAATAAGAGATGCCTGATGCTGAACAAAATTCCACTTTATTTACTGCATAGTTGGCTGGTATTGCCAAGGCAGCTGTCCAGATCACTGGTATGGTGTACTTTGTCCAGGAAGAMYGGTTTTTGTACTTTATAGGGCGTGTAACAGCCAGGAATCGATCGAAGGTGATAACGACAAGACTGAATATRGAGCAAAGCATAAAGGTGAAGAATAATCCTCCTTGAAGATGGCACATAATCCTGTCAAATATCCCATCACCATTCACRATTATCTGAACACCGTCTTCGATGAACGATATCACTATTATAGTGCTTTGGACAGTTTCCAGTAAATCACCAACTGCCATGTTGACAATAAGATAATTAGTCGTTGTTCGCATGTGTTGGTTTGCCCTGACAACATGCATAATTAGAATATTGGATATTGTGGAGATTATAGCAATAATTACCCATATTGCAATGGCAAAGCCTTTTTTCAAAGGTATTTCAGGAGCTGACACTTGTTCTATAGAAAAGAAAAGAAAAGGAAAAATACAAAAAGATGAAATATGTGTCAGTTTTTGGCTGCAATATGTTGACATAAGTAAAAAGGTAGRCTTTGTCACCGTGACTAGCTCTGCTGTTATTTTGTCGTACTAATACCTCCAAAGATTTAAAATGTCATTATAATTTTTGCTTCATCTATGGAATTCGAATGGAATATATTTTCCCTTTATTGATATATTTGGTACTGCCATATTTCAGCATGAGTCACTGTGTAGTTTCGTACTAGAGTGGGCGCGTTGTGATATTTACTAGGATTTTTCCATTACAGCCATTAGAACCGACAAAAAACGTCCTTACCTAGCCGTCAATCTTAGACAATATATTGAGAAATTAAGAAAATATGCTTGCATAAATCTAACACGTTTTGAATTCATCGACTTTGTTTCTCAAAAAGTAAATATACAATTTCTCACCAACATTGATTGGACATGAACTTGTAGAATYATTACTGCTTCCATTTCCATTTTTAGAAGCTTGTGATCTTGAAAGCAAGCAAAGAAGAAGGAAGATCAAGAACCGAAGGACGAAACGCGTCTTCATGCTCTTGAGTGAAATAATGTTCTGATTTAAAACTTGACCTGTGCAGATGTAAGGTCTATTGTCTCCTTTGGCTCATGCTGATTAAATATTTAGTTTCTTCCAATTGTCACATATGTTGTACTCATTATTGAACGAAGCTGGCCAACGACGATTYAGGATATACATTAATAAACAAATATCTTATTAGTGTTCTTTTACTCCCATCTTTTTAATTTAATATTTTAAAATTTAAAATATAACCACGTCAGACTGATGCTATTTATGATTTTGTGTGATTGAATATTTATACTTTATATTTGTTCTTCTGTTTCTTSTTTTGGTACTTTTCTGGTTAAAAGAGCTTTATGTATTGGAAAAATATGAATCAATGTAAACATAAGCCTGCAATTATAATTGGTGACTTACGTATTCAAGTTAATTGCAATGATTTCGTTTATATTGAAATACAATGTATGAAATTTTATATCAAACTGTGAATTGCGTGGGTAAAAAAAATCAAGTCAAGCTTCATTGTATTGAATTTTTGKCAGTTTTAATTATGCATTTGAATTTACATATTTGACAATCAGCTAGTTTGAAGTCCTGGTGGCCGTAAAAATCAGACACACAGCGGTCCCTCACAACAGCCCCATCATTCACGAATATACCAGAACGTTATCATTGAGCCCTTCATCCATCTTAACATTGAGAAACAGCAAAATTATCAAATTGTCAGAAAGTGAAATTCATATATACTGAGAAGCTAATAGTGACTCTAGCTAAGTCAAACATGTCAAACTAAAGACGGAAGTGTAAGATATACACGATTG